AAATTGACAGTAGAAGAAAACTAAAAGTAAATAATCTGTAGATGAGAATGAATTGACCATATTCTTTTTATCCTATATTTATATATTGATCTGTTCACTACATGTAGATTAGTAACAGAATATAATTTTGGAGTCGTAGAACAAAATTGCCTTTATTAATTCAAATACATGGTTCAAAAAGGATGAAAAACTCTGGAAAATTATTTCTATTTAAGGAAATATTACAATACCCGTTAACGACTGAATAAAAGCGAAGAATTTTTTTTCCCAACAGAAACATGTTTAGCAAATAATCATTAAAAGGGTAAAAAGAAATTATATTAGAAGGAACAAATATACGGTAACAATAGTAAAAATAATACGACTCCTGCAACTAAGTATTTCAAATGTTTGATTCGAGTGTCGCTGATGAGTCTTATCGATATGAAACACGTGTCTGTAGTAAAACTATCAGACTGGTATCTTTGGCGAGTTCCTACAATGATTTAGAGAAGATTGACCTGTTTTTCAAGATTGCATTGTGTATGTCTATTGTCATGATTAATATTTGTCACTGCACCTCTTTTGGTATTCAAATATTTAGAATAATTGTTTGATACAGTGTATGCACACGACCGTGATTGTGTATATAAAGACTTCTTTGCTCAATAAATATCTTTTTATTTATCTTTATAGTAGCAGCTTGAACAAATACATCCGTGTAATCATATTGCAAAGATTTGTCACTGCACACCTTTTCTTTGAAATAGATAGGCTGAGACAACAATCTATAATTACGTATTGCACCACAGTGTGCATGAGACAGTAACGGTTACCTATCAAACACCACAGTAAATAATGATTTTACTATTGATACTGATGTGTACGATATTTTATTGTTTCTCTATGACTATTCGGTATTGCACTGTAGTGTACAAGAGGCAGTAACCTATCAAACACAACCATAGATATTGGTCTTACCACTGCCACTGATGTGTACGATATTTTATTGATTCTCTATCGGTCACAAGGACAAGGAAATGGTCATTGATCCACAACTCTATAATCGTACGGATGTATCATTGAAATTTTTTTAATAATGATATATATGCAAAGTAGGTCATACATCAGTAACATGTATACAACGTATCACCTAATTATCATTACTGTTCACTTGAAATAAGTGGTGGAATGTCAGTCACCCTTTTATCTCATTCTTGTCATAGTGTTTAAATGAAGAGACCGGGAAAAGGTTCAGGTTATATTTTTTCATGAATGTAAACTGGTAAAAATAAACTTTCCAATGAACCAAGGTGGTAGAGTTCTTCTATTTTATAAAACTATTAGGCATTGATAAGACTAAGTTTCTGAAGTATTTTTGATACCACGAAAAATAAACAGCGAGCGCCAGACAAAAAAAATACAGTATGGTGTTAGTCGTCGAAACTTCTGAGTTATAACATATTTTCGAGATTTTCTGCTAACATTTCAATTATGTGATACAATCTATTAGGGATGCCGCCGCTTGCATGTATCTAACGTTATAAAGGGACATAAATAGAGAACTGTAAAAGTGACGCCACCAAAAATCGAAAGTGATTTGTGTTTTGTGGTAATAAGCATTGTGTATAAGTTTGGTAACATTTGTTTGAGGGAAAATAAAGTTAGAGAACGGAAACCAATTTTGGGTCGTGCGGACGGACAAGGGTAAACCTTTATGCCTCCTCCGCTACGGCGGGGCATAACAATTACCTAAACTTTGCGATCCCTACTAACATTCAATGCGAATTATGTTTGTTTCAATGTCAAAAACTTTAACAGCAATAGTGGACAAAAACCTTTCTAAACATTTTTATAACCCATGTGTTATAGCATACGAAGGTATAAATATAAACATGCGGAATTAAATTAATGTTTAAAAATACGTAACTTAGTCTACAAATTAGTCCTATGTTTGACATGTACATTACTGTTTATACTTATATGTCATGCTTTAGGTAAACCTTTTCTAATAGAAGTCAACCGCCTGGTTTGTGTGTGAAATAGTTATTTTTTCACTTGACATGCAAAGACAATTATAAAGAGAATTTTTTTTATCAAACAGTCTATATATTATTGTTTCATAATCGGATATTACAATGAATGCCAAGGAAATAATAGTTAGAAACAAGGAAGAGTTTGAACAATCAGTTCAACGTTTCAAATAATTGTTGTACTAAATGATTCCTGTTTTAAAAATTTATGTAATTTAGAATCGACTGATGCATGTTAAGTTGTGCAAATACATAATAGTGTTATATATGTCTGATTTCACGGACAACTTATTTACATTTTAATCAATTACAATTTTTGAATAAAGCAAAGTAAAAGTTTTGACAAGGCAATTTAAAACATGTGTATTCCTTGTATACATGTTTTAGTAATGTTTACTTAACAAACAACCTTCATTTTTTTATGTCGGACCTTTATATTGACCACACATGAGTAAAACATGACTAATAATGGGTTCTTATGCTCAGACTAAATGATCTTGAACCTTTCGTTGGTTTCCCATAATTGGCAATACATCATCCTTGACTCCCAAGAAACAAAGTTTCATTAAGTATCGAAAAATAATAAGTGATTAGATGCAAAAACAAATCCGAATTCTAAGGAATACCGCCGACATATGGTACCAGAATGTGTAACCTGGACGTATACTAACAACAACAAGACGAATAATGAGAGATACAACGACAAGTGGTACCAGAATGTGTAACCTGGACGTATACCAACAACAAAAAGACGAATAATGAAGGATACAACGACAAATGGTACCAGAATGTGTAACCTGGACGTATACCAACAACAACAAGGCGAATAATGAGGGATACAACGACATATGGTACCAGAATGTGTAACCTGGACGTATACCAACAACAACAAGACGAATAATGAGAGATACAACGACATATGGTAACAAAATGTTTAGCCTGGACGTATACTAACAACAACAAGACGAATAATGAAGGATACAACGACAAATGGTACCAGAATGTGTAACCTGGACGTATACCAACAACAACAAGGCGAATAATGAGGGATACAACGACATATGGTACCAGAATGTGTAACCTGGACGTATACCAACAACAAGAAGACGAATAATGAGAGATATAACGACATATGGTACCAGAATGTGTAACCTGGACGTATACTAACAACAACAAGACGAATAATGAGGGATACAACGACATATGGTACCAGAAACCCTAAAAAATAATCCATTGATAATTAGATTTCTCTACGAAACGATGAAATGATGTCAAATGGGCTTCATCTGTGTCATTTTTTATATTGCTCTATGTTTCGGTGTATTATTGAGACGTTTTTTTTTAAATTTTATATTAAATTTGGACTTATATGATTATATACTAAGATTTGCTAACGATCGATAATTTCCAGTTGGAAGATATTATGTAGTAAATATGGAAGATGTGGTATAACCGTGGCCTGGTAGTTTATTGTCAATGATTGTGCTCTCTCGCGATAGTCTCTGCATTTGACATATATGTCCTTAAAAAGCCAATAAAACATTAAAATATCATACTTTACAAATAGTTATCCAGACGAATATTTCGTCTACATAATACTCATCAGTGGTCCTCGAATGAAATCAGTAGAGATGCTAAATGATTTCTTTAGTTGAATCAACTTTGCAATAAACGCCATACAAGTATATGAAAACATATGTATAATAGTCAGCATGTTTATTAAAACTTTTCATAGCCAGTCATCCTTTAGTAATGATAAATAGATATTAATAAAGATATGAAGTTGCCTGTGTTGGCTCTGTATTGTTACATGTATATGCCGATAGATGGGATATTGATATTCTGAGTGTTTATTACTTGAGTACATAGCATCATATTTATAAAGTAATATAAGTTTAAAGGACTGTACCTACAAAACATCTGATAGTAACCGACAACTTAGTTGATTGTTTTTTGTGAAATCTCTAGCCTTTTGCTATTTTGTGGATGAGATATTTGTTTTCTTATGTTTAGCATACATTCATTCCAACTTGTCTAAACTCGGGGTCATATAGAGCTTTATTGTATGGTCATCTATCTTTTGTTTGAGATCGGATGTTGGTCTCCAGATGAGTTTTTTATTGTTTGTTTTGGTTTGCGTTGACATATTTATTATTATCATTTATTCTGATTAGTATAAGAAGAAGTAGTAGTAATTGTAGTAGTATTAGTAGTAGTAGAGTTTCCTAACCAATTTTTGGTCTGGTGGTAAAGTGCTCGCTTCGAATGTTAAAGGTCGAATGTTGGATCCCCGGCCGAGTAAAACTTAAGATTCGAAAATCGGTATTTGATGCTTCTCCGCTATGCACGAGACATTAGGGAGTAAGAGTAAAGAATGGATGGATCGGGTTCAATGTCTTCCTGTCTACTGCTACCTTCTTAACTAACAAGTTTAAGATCCTACTCAACGTGTCTTTTACATTCACGTAATGTTTTTTTATTGGGTGTAATACACACTTTGTCAAATGGTACATGAGTGTTACCATCTTCAGGCGAGCCGGCACGCTTATAAAAAGGTATGTATAAGAGCAAGAAAACTAAAGCGATGACTAAACTAGCATTACAATAATTCTTATTGAACCTTATCTTTAGTCACTGATATATGTCTGATAGATAGGAGTTTAATCTTTGTCTCCTTGAAAATTTGCTTACATTTATCATTAGAATTCATATTTATTTTGAATTCAGTAAGGCGAGTGCTACTTTAAGTGACATTTTTTATTACATAAGGAGAAAATTCTATTGTACTTAAAATGGCAAAGTGAGTATGGAAATATCCAATTCAAGTTATTTAATTCCTAGTTGATAGTTACATGTATGTCCTTTAAGGAAGTTTAACATGGTAAGTGCGTACTTGATATTTATATATTGACTAAAATTATAGTTATTATTATTATTGTTATCATTGAAAAGTTTATCCTTGATAATTATTTGGAAATAACAACACGTGACATGATGACTAAGTGTAATAAGAGACAACACGAAGAGGAGCCGACTTTTTTACTGTAAAGAGTGTGACATTGAAAAATGTGCATACAAATGTGCACTAGTGTTTAGATGATTTTCTGAAAGCAAATTCTTGTATTTGTTATCATTCGTTTCTGATCTGGTTAGGTAATCGAAACTTTAATTATATATTTTTTCCGAGTAGCTAAACAGAGATAAAAAGAATTTGCCTAAAAATGATGTTGTACAAATAACATAAAAAATGTATTCTTTGAAAACAATGAAAAGATGCGGAAACAAGAACGCGGATTCGCAGTTGTTTCGAATGAATTGATAAAAACAATCTTGCAAAACATTAATATAAATTAAACTATTAACGAGTGACACTAGTTGCTGACTTGGATGCGATTATAGCAGCTTAGTCTCCTATCTCCGTTAAATGGAAATAAAACTAGAAATCAGGACTATCAAGCTTTACGCTAGTGTAGAGTTGGATTAATGTCTTTTCTAACTTGGTCTTCATTGATGAATTATTGCCGCTATTTGTCTTTGTATACGTGAACAATGGGGTCTTGGGATTACACTATATGGAGATATAGTATTGGAATAAATCTTGTTGATTGTGATACTGTGATTAAATATATGGTTATGCTTTTCTTATCAACCAGGTAAGATGCATTTTGTTTTTAATTAAGTGTTTTGTGAAAATGAGTTTCGTTGTTTCCATGTGAGTATAAATTATTTCTTTTCTGTCTCAAACAGAATAACTGAACGCAACTTTAAAGGGTTTAATTAATAAGATTTTTTTATAAAGTTGATAACAAGTCAATTTTTTATCAAACAATTCTTGCAACGTATTCATAGAAATTCGACAAAAACCGTGAGCAAAAAAAAACTATTTGCCTCAATCAAAATGACTATGTCAGCATGTTAAAACAATGATTGACGACACCATTCAAGTTAAGGAATAACGCTATCAAGTCTTATAAAGTCTTGATGTGGTTCATAAGTGTTTCTCGTTTCTCGTTTTTTATATAGATTAGACCATTGGTTTTCCCGTTTGAATGGTTTCACGCTAGTAATTTTTAGGGCCCTTTATAGCTTGATGTGCGGTGTGAGCCAAGGTTCCGTATTGAAGACCGTACTTTGACCTATAATGGTTTACTTTTATAAATTGTGACTTGAATGGGGAGTTGTCTCATTGTCACTCATACCACATCTTCTTATATCTATTATAAAGACCCAGTTCTTTACTCACTTGTCTAGCTAATTTTTATAAGAACTGTATTAGTGTTCCTTTTTTGTATTTTGCTGTGCATGGACTGCTTTTAATGGATACCCCATATTCCTTCTTTTCTATTATAAATGTTTAAAAACTGTGGAAAATAAAAGGTTTAGATGTATTAATAGGAATAGGACGGTATGACATGCATATATAGCACAGAAGTACAGAAGTGTCAGTCGTTTTGTCACTGATTTCACAAACCTGTTGAAATTGATATTTTTACCTTAAAATAACCATTGTACACGTAGTCTTGCACAAATCAAATATGAACCAGGGCCTTACCTCAAAGGATGGATCACCTGCACCAGCTTCTAAGTATAAGACATCTTCTATGGCAGTATTTTACTTTCTAATTTAAAGGACAAAAGCGGCGTGAGCCCGTGTTATTTGGTGGTTGTCGTCTGTTTCCGTATATTATATTTGGTTTTCGTTCATTATTTTGTTCATACATTAGGCCGTTAGTTTTCTCGTTTGAATTGTTTTACATCTGTCATATCGGGGCATTTTATAGCTGAGTATGCGGTATGGGTTTTGCTCATTGTTGAAGGCTGTACGATGACCTATAGTTATTAATTTCTGTGTCATTTGGTCTCTTGTGGAGAGCTGTCTCATTGGCAATCATACCGCATCTTCTTATATTCATATGATCATACTTTTTCTTCGGTTTTTATATAATTATATACAACATGTACAAAATAAAACTGTAAGATACCAAAGAGAAAATTAAAACTCATAAGTTGAAGAGAGAGCGACAAAATTATGGCATTGTTGTCTCAATAACAAAAGCTAGCCTATATTGCATCAAAAGCAAAGAAGAAAATACTTTTAGATCTGAATAACGTGATTTAAGACGATTACAGACTAAGGTTGCCATTGGCTTACCATCATTCTTTTGTGTATCATAGTGCTTTGTTCTCACGTGTGTTTTGTAACTCATAAAATATCTCTATACTCTATGTATACGGATTTAGGGGTTGTAATATTTTATGGACGTTTTCTTCGCGTATAAGATGTAGAAATAAAGCAACAACAAAAAAATGGAACCCCATTGACACTGTAGAGAAAGCAATCATCTTATACACCAAACAAACTATTTTTGGAATAATTTATTTATTTTTTTTCTGCTACATTATTCAAACACAAGTTAGATTATGTTCATTGTGTATAGTTTTGCGTGCTTGCATTGAATCTAAAAAATAAAATACCAAAACATAGAAGTATTAAACTCTCCAGGGTATCTTGACCTTTTATGTACAACTGACTGAACAGACAACAAATAATTAAAACCGTATTTGCAATTGTAAATCAAATGTCTTTTGTCTTGTGTTTTACCCATAGGTTATTATATAGATGCTATTGTTGGACATACAATCAATGGATGGAGTAAGGAATGATATTATAAATCTAACCATGTTTGAGAAATTGCCAAAATTATCATTTACATGCACTTGCTGCACGCTTCAAACCTCTCAGAAACACATCCATCAAAAGATATTCTTTATGATAACCAATTGTCACAGAATTCGTCCTTAACGAAGGTTACAACAAACTAGGTCTCCAATTCATATTACATGACAATAAACAAGGTCTCCCCTACATCACATTCATATTACATGACAACTATCTAGGTCTCCCCTACATCATATTCATATTGCATGACAACAAACTAGGCCTCACCTACATCATATTCATATAACATGACAACAAACTAGGTCTCCCCTACATCATATTCATGTTACATGACAACAATCTAGGTCTCCCTTACATCATATTCATATTACATGACAACAAACTAGGCCTCCCCTACATCATATTCATATTACATGACAATAAACTAGGTCTCCCCTACATCATATTCATATTACATGACAACAAACTAGGTCTCCCCTACGTCATATTCATATAACATGACAACAATCTAGGTCTCCCCTACATCATATTCATATAACACGAAAATAAACTAGGCCTTCCCGACATCATATTATTATTACATGACAACAAACTAGGTCTCCCCTACATCATATTATTATTACATGACAACAAACTAGGTCTCCCCTACTTTATATTAAAATTTCATGACAACAAACAAGGTATCCCCTACATTATATTAATATTACGTGACAGCGAACTAGGTCTTCCCTTCATCATAATCATATAACATGACAACAAACAAGGTCTCCCCTACATCATATTCAAATTACATGACAACAAACTAGGATTCACCTACATCAAATTCATATCATATGACAACACACTAGGTCCCCTACATAATATTCATATTACATGACAATAAAATAGGCAACCCCTACATCATATTCATATTACATGACAACAAACTAGGTCTCCCTTACATCATATTCATATTACATGACAGCAAACTTAGTCTCCCCTATATCATATTCATATTACATGACAATAAACTAGGTCTTCCCTACATCATAGTCATATTACATGACAATAAACTAGGTCTCCCCTACATCATTTTCATATTACATGACAACAAACTAGGTCTCCCCTACATCATATTCATATTACATGACAACAAACAAGGTATCACCTACATCATATTCAAATTACATGACAACAAACTAGGATTCACCTACATCATATTCATATCATATGACAACAAACTAGGTCTCCCCTACATCATATTCATATTACATGACAACAAACTAGGTCTCCCCTACATCATATTCATATTTCATGACAACAAACAAGGTATCACCTACATCATATTCAAATTACATGACAACAAACTAGGATTCACCTACATCATATTCATATCATATGACAATAAACTAGGTCTCCCCTACATCATATTCATATTACATGACAATAAAATAGGCAACCCCTACATCATATTCATATTACATGACAACAAACTAGGTCTCCCTTACATCATATTCATATTACATGACAGCAAACTTAGTCTCCCCTACATCATATTCATATTACATGACAATAATCTAGGTCTCCCCTACATCATAGTCATATTACATGACAACAAACTAGGTCTCCCCTACATCATATTCATATTACATGACAACAAACAAGGTATCACCTACATCATATTCATATTTCATGACAACAAACTAGGTCTCCCCTACATCATATTCATATTTCATGACAACAAACAAGGTATCACCTACATCATATTCATATTTCATGACAAACAACCAAGTATCACCTACATCATATTCATATTTCATAACAACAAACTAGGTCTCCCCTACATCATATTCATATTACATGACAACAAACTAGGTATCACCTACATCATATTCATATTTCATGACAACAAACTAGGTATCACCTACATCATATTCATATTTCATAACAACAAACTAGGTCTCCCCTACATCATATTCATATTACATGACAACAAACTAGGTCTCCCTTACATCATATTCATATTACATGACAGCAAACTTAGTCTCCCCTACATCATATTCATATTACATGACAACAAACTAGGTCTCCCCTACATCATATTCATATTTCATGACAACAAACAAGGTCTCCCCTACATCATATTCATATAACATGACAACAAACTAGGTCTCCCCTACATCATATTCATATTTCATGACAACAAACTAGGTATCACCTACATCATATTCATATTTCATAACAACAAACTAGGTCTCCCCTACATCATATTCATATTACATGACAACAAACTAGGTCTCCCCTACATCATATTCATATTTCATGACAACAAACTAGGTCTCCCCTACATCATATTCATATTTCATGACAACAAACAAGGTATCACCTACATCATATTCATATTACATGACAACAAACAAGGTATCACCTACATCATATTCATATAACATGACAACAAACTAGGTCTCCCCTACATCTTTTTCATATAACATGACAACAAACTAGGTATATGTGCAATCTGCTTAATGAAAAAGAATCCATAATTATTTATATTGAATACACACATATTTTTAAATAATGTTTAAGTGTTTCAATACAAAAAATACGTTTGATTTAATACATTGTATATGTATAGATTTAGCTTGCGGAAAAATAACTACAATTTCCGCATTGGAATATTTAATATGCAGGTCTTGTACATGTCCTTTATCTTGGTTAATTTAAACGCAATGTTTCTTTAAAAAATAAATTAATGAACTATTCTTCACATAGTAACATTCTGTTCTATCCACAATTCAACAGTTTTTACACAGACAATATGTAGTTTTGTAACATTTTACCGGATAACTGAGTTATAATCTAAATATGTGAATGATTCCTACATTTCTTTATTTTATATAGAATTCTTTATTTAAAACTAATTATGACCAGAGTTTGCATTTTTTTTAACTTGATTCAACTCCAATTTCGTTTTCTTGTTTGTCTGTTTCTCTC